TAAAGCTAACTCAGTTCAAGCTTCTTAATGAATAAATGTAAATATTTACAGCTTGATTTTCAAAATAAATTTTCTTACATTATGGGGCTGGAGATGGTTCAGGGGTTAAAAGAGCACATTGCTGCTCTTGCGGAGGCCCCAGCACCCACAGTGGGCTGTTCAAATTACAGGGGGTACCCTGTAATCCCAACTCCAAGGGACCCAATCCCTCTGGTTTCCATGGGTATCTACACATACCCACAGACAGGCAGGTGTGCACATGTGTACACACACACACACACACACACACACACACACACAGCATTAGAAACAAAATGATAATCTTTTCAGAAAAAAGTTTACACTCTAATACAAATCCTTTTTCAAAGACAAAGATCACATTATTCAATCCACCCTATATTCTGTCCTGTATGAAATCAAAGAATTTATGCTTCCTCGTGTACTTGAATTCACTGCTTGAAAGATACAACTGAGAAACTCAACATACTTACTTCAAGTGCTGCACTCCCTTGCTTAAATCTATGAGCAGCTCCCAGTATCTTGGACCTTTAACTTTAATCTGCAGCAATAAATGTAAACACAGTCAATCCAGAGCTCAAAATGCTAACCTGACAAAAAGAAACCCATGCTTCTTAGAGGAAACAGTAATTGGCTGGAAAGAGACATCTAGAGGTTAAACAAGATCCATTTCCTGGTCAAAAGGAGTGTGAATCATGCCCTGAAAGGACACAGACTAAGAGTAAAACCTCTGTAAGACAAGACCTTCTTGAATTTTCATAGCTATTCTCCCTGCTACTTTGCTGTGTTCTAAAAAACAGAAAAGGGGAGACTTTTATGCAAGCACCTTTAACGCTATGCTATGCTGATTCAATTTACTCCTTGGATGGACCTCCCTAAGTCACACCCAACTTACCTGCTTTAAAAGGTGAAGTTCTGGAAGAAGAGTTGGAGCCATCAATTCTTCTTTGGTTTGTTCATACCACTGAGTGCTCTTTACAAAGGTAAATGACAGCCAGAGTTTATTAGGTGGTTAGTGGGACTTTCAAAGAAGAAATAACTCTACTCCACACCTCCCAGTTCCTCACAGTCTATACACAGACTATTAAATGGCAAAAATCCTCTCTGATAGTCTTCTTGATCTGCAATGCTAGAGACTGAACCAGAGCTTTGTGCATGCTAGGCAAGTGCTCTATCACTAAGCTACATCTCTGGCCCTAATAATAATCATGTCTAAATCATCTCCAACAACTTGGAGGCTTTGCCTTTCATCAGCCAGCAGTGCTGAAAAGCTGCACATCTACTGCATGCATTTACATACATTGTCTTCTCTACTGAGAACAAGCTCGTTCTGCTGAAAATCACAACGCAGCTTCCGGCTGTGATAGTTACCCCTAACCCTTCAGATGGACAAGGGTACTTTCCTCGAGCTTCTGCACTCTATACATCCCTCTAATCACTACACTATCTTAACTACACCCATGACTGGCTCCTCAAGAAGCCACCAGTTCCTCAAGGAATATGGGGGGATATGACACTGTCAACTAACTTTCATACCCAAAAGTCAAGTACAGTTTTGATAAATAGGGAGTATTTAATAATTTGCTAAAGGCTACATAACCCGTAATCTATTTATGCATACAAACAAAAAAGACTATTCAAATTTACAATTTAGGAATTTCAAATGCTCAGCAAAACCAAATCTAAAAATCAAGCTAACTCAACTCACTTTTTAGAATGCTACAATTAATTACATAAAGTTACCTAGAACATTTCCAAACTATCAGCTCTATGGACAAAAGAGCAGCTGATGGTCCCTTAAAAGTACAAAGTACGCCCGAATACTAGAGTATACCCCAATACTAGAGTGAGCCTGAGGAGCTTGGCAGGACATAGAGGACCTTGGGAAACTCG